ACAGGATGAAAAATGGTATTTTAATGGTACATTGCTTGAGAATGTAGGTAGTGTTTGCTATCCTGGCTTGTTAAACTATAACGGTAACTTTAATTTATCGCAAAAACAGTTAGAATCACAATGTAGTTAAGCATTATTCGCATTGAAAAAGACTTGTGTATCCATATTTTAAAATGTGTCCACATTATTGAGTCTCTTTGACACATATGTAGGATCCGTGGCGGGTTATAGTAGTGAAGTATGGGAATTCCATACAGCCCCTGACATTGAGAGGGTACAATTAGATTTTAGTAAAAATATTCTTGGAGTTAAACGGTCGACACCAAATGCTATGGTATACTTTGAACTGGGGAGGTTCCCATTGTCCCTCTTGCACAAATTAAGAATATTTAAATACTGGTGTAAGTTAACCTTTACCAAAAATTGTATATTAAATGGATGTTACAAGTATATGGACAACGAATGTGAGGATAATCCAAATTGTAAAAACTGGGTGGCGAAAGTCAAACACGAGCTCTGCTCATTAGGTATGATGGACATTTCGTTTTCCCAACACATAATAAATTGTTTGTCATGTTTGACTATGACAGTACATCCACCCAGAATGTCATTATGACCGAGAACTGTACATGTATTAATGATGATTGTTAGTTATGAAGCAGGTGTCATTTTTGGTAGGGCTTGCTTAGACCCCAATCTTTTTATGGATTCATCTATCCCCCCCAGATCCTCTACTGTTTATCTTTATTAACTAATGTGTATAAATAAAAGGCAAACTTGATTGGTGAAAAAGATTATTAAACTCCGTAATCTGTATACTTGATTTAAAAGTATTTCGATAAGTGTAGCAGTACATATTTATGCAAGAAAAAAGCCAGAGCTATGTAGGCCTGCTACATCTATATTTATCTGAAAGTGTATAACGTTATTAGCAGGATAAAGGTAACCTCCAGCTGTTGATGGTGACTGCTGGACTAGTTCCATTAATTACCTCGACAACTTTTTCATGATGACATGTAATTGTAGTAAACGTGGTTTGGTTGGTGTATTGGGTTAAGCGCTCTATTAACAGTTAAGGTCGTTTTGATGTCGCCTCGATGTGTGTTGGAGACGTAGTCCTTCTGTAAGAGGGTGCTTATTTTAACAGATGCTTATTTTAGCATATTACCAAATTTTAACAGATTAGCGCATTGATGGATTGGTGCACTGACAATATATATATGCAATTGAAAGCTATACACAAATACACCAAATAAATTTATCATAAATTAGCGCAATTTTAAAAGTGCGTAAAGCTTTCAAAACAGAACACCGCTAAGATATCTTGGTGCGTACAGTATGTCAGTGTATAAAGTTTCCTCCTTGTGATGTTGTGAATCTGATGCCACCTTAGACACCCGGGCCATTAAATCTCTTGGTGCACTTTAGTACCCAAATACTGAACGTTGGATTGGAAAGAACTACAAAATTTAAGGACTTGCTATGTTCTGGCCTGGGGACCTATATTGTTATCTGTTTTTGTCCATTGTTTTGCAACGTCCATTAAATATTTACATGTTCAACTTCTTCTAATCAAAGTTTGATTAAAGTTTGCAGGAATTATCAATAAAACAATTGTGAAGTTGTGGATTTTAGATATATAGGAACCAAAGAGGGGATATTTTATACAAAATAGATCCTCTGAAGATTTATATAAATACCAGAGCTTTTCACTTTTGTCAAAGAATGCAAGTTGTTCAAGTTCTAGCCCTTAGACCATGAATAGGGCTACAGGAATTCCTAAGGCTCTTTAAGGTTGTTTTCCCATTCTTCTGATGTTATTAATTGTTGTGTTGACTTATAGAAATAAAGTGTTAAAACTGTAATGTCTAATCCATTATACAGACATACAGTCGGGGCCACAATCAGAGGTCAAAGTTTACCATTTAAAATCATCTGCAGGTCATTAGTCAACTTAAATTTTTAACTTAAAATTCCTCTTGCTATTAGCACGGTGTAGTTAAAGTATTTCTTGTCTAAGAAAGCTTTATAAAACGTGGCTTAAAGGACAATCTTTCCGACACCAGATCAGAAGACCCATAGAACTACATGGATACCTAAATCCTAGCTACCAGCTGGCCATGACGAATACAATAACTCGCCTTTCTAACATTACTCTGTATCTTGTTCCCTGTTACGCGGTCCCTGATGTATCAGGATTCTGAGGTATAAACATCACAGAAAAGATGGCAACATATGCTTCACGACTTGTGTAAACAAGGGTGACCCTTGGTTTTAGCTACCATACTCCACACTATCTACAACAATTCTAATTTCAATATTAAAAAAGGCTGGAATCCTTAAGGTTTGGTGTATGTAATTTCATTCTACAAGATGGTGCTCTTCTTTTTGTCTGAACACATATCATGCTACACTATAGCTATATATAGGCTACTGTATACAGTGTACATGCATTGTAAATGAAAATGCTTTTGTGTTGCCTGTGAAGAGCAGGTAACTTATCATGATCACACTGTGGACGTCCACACATGTACAAAAGTTAATGTGTGGTAACTCCGAAAGTTACTTGATTTTCATAAAGATAAACTTCTTTCCAATGAGTTAGTATCATTTAGTGTATACCTGGAAGATTTGCTTTGGACCCAGATCTGAAATTCAATTTGGCCACCAGTTGGCCATCTTGGATTTTGACACCTTAAATGGATTCCATGCAATAACCCTCTAATGAATGCTTCCATTTTTTTTTTGACACTTGCATATACTTAAAGTTTCAATTACCAGCTTAGGTTTAATATATATATATTTTATATATATGTAGATCTATACTTTAATATGGCTGACAGTGGCAATCTTGGATTTTGACACAATGAATAGTGTTTGTGTGATATTTCTTAAAAGATTACCTTTTTCTCTCTCATCTAAACAGTTGTATGAAAACATCCATTGAACTGTTGAGGGAAAATGTCAAAGATAATTTGGGCAAATATAGGATGAGCCCCTTTTCTTGGTAGTTTTCTTTCGTGTTTTTATGTTTTTATGCTACAAACTTCAATGTTCTTTATTCTATAGGCCTTACTGATGTAACTTTTTACGTGTCTTGAGGGCCCACTTGACCTTAAGGAGTCTGTCCTTTGCAACCTCTCATTTAGAAAATAAATAGTTAAGGCTAACAGGTATTACAGTGTCAGGATTATGATGCAGGATATAATCAGGCATAAATCAGCAGCAGCAACAACTTCCAGATGTTAGTTAACGTTTCTGACAGTTAATGACAGCAAAATGTATTAACCGCTATCTGAGTTGATGATCTGGTGATAATGAACCAAAAGGAGATTATCACGTTGGATATGGACCTCCTCCCTGGTCAGTATCCTGATTCATGCAGTTACATGTACATCTTGTAATTACCTCAGTATTATATATCTATATTGGATACTGAAAAGAACAATAAGGCTTGATGAGGGACAACATGTGGGGATGGAAGGAAGGGACAACATGTGGGGATGGAGGGGAGGGACAACATGTGGGGATGGAAGGGAGGGACAACATGTGGGGATGGAGGGGAGGGACAATATGTTGGGATGGAAGGGAGGGACAACATGTGGGGATGGAAGGGAGGGACAACATGTGGGGATGGAAGGGAGGGACAACATGTGGGGATGGAGGGGAGGGACAACATGTGGGGATGGAAGGGAGGGACAACATGTGGGGATGGAGGGGAGGGACAATATGTTGGGATGGAAGGGAGGGACAACATGTGGGGATGGAAGGGAGGGACAACATGTGGGGATGGAAGGGAGGGACAACATGTGGGGATGGAGGGGAGGGACAACATGTGGGGATGGAGGGGAGGGACAACATGTGGGGATGGAAGGGAGGGACAACATGTGGGGATGGAGGGGAGGGACAACATGTGGGAATGGAGGGGAGGGACAACATGTGGGTATGGAAGGGAGGGACAACATGCTGTCACTGCAGTGGTCAGCAGGATAAATGTTATGGCTATTATACACACGGGCTGTTACATTGTGATCTTTTTTCGAAAAATATAATTGCCAGATGTGCAAGTTGGAGTTACGAATGTATATACATGTGAATACGCCTTCCACTTTGAATAGAAATGTTTCAAAACTATTTAAAAGTTGAACAATAGGTATATTTCATGAAAAGATGTTACCATATATGATGCATCAATATATTCAATATTTTCATACTATAAAGCACTGAATGCTGCACTGCTCACTGTTTTTGTTATAAGACCTGCAGTCTGCTGCCATTTAAATTGAAAAACAATCTGTATTGAAAACTATGAGAGCACCGGGATGTCTGATGATAGCTTCAGTGTATACTTCGTTAGAGACCCTTCTGTCGGTGAAATTGTAGTTGAGGTTAATATTTAATTTTGTGTCTAATTTGATACCAGCAATTTTGTCTATGTACCAATACATAAAATGATAATTCTATGAATGTTACTTTTAATTATTTTTAGTTGTTAACTTACCATTGATTGTTGATATATTTATTTTCTTGGTGTGAATAAACAAGTTTATTATCTTTGACAGTTTTGAGTAAAAACAATTTATTCAACTTCTGCTGCTGCTTATACATTTTATATTCACTAATAATGTAACACTTCTACTTGTTCATAGTCCCTACTACCAGGGTTTATACAAATGTAGCATCATAACAAGATTTTGATTAATAACTATAACAGATTTTGTAAATACATGTATATGTAATTTCTATTATTTTTAATTAAAACAAAAGTAAGTTAAATGTCTACCTACATTTATCGTACGATCTTGACAGATTTCATATGACGTTTGTTGGATAGTAAATTGATTTTGGTATTGTTTTTAGTACACTGTGATGCGGCGAAAAAAATCTTTCCCTGCTTAAAATCCAATCTCCCTACTTAAAAACACAAATCTCACTACTTTTTGTTCCGAAGGAATCGCATGTATTTGTATATTATATCATTGTTTTGTATGTTTATCCAGGAACTACCTGAACTTTGTCACAGAGGAAATCAAGGACCCTTACAAGTGAGTTTAGTCAGGTCCATATAGCACTACCCTATAGTCACATAATCCGAGGTATATATTTTATTATATTGTGTCTAGATTGTTTAATAACCATACATAATCATGGCATGCATTTGTTATCTTCCTTGTCCTATCAAGCTGACTGATTTTAAGTGGATTTTGCTTGAAGCGATTCATTAGCCAAAGATTCATTCTAGATCTGAAGGATATATATGTACATGTAGAACAAATTCATAGAGTAACAGCTATAAGGATAAATCTTTAAATGATTGGATATTTTTCCATGGAAAATACAGTAGTAGTTTGTTTCTCTAAATATCATGTTGTTTAATATCACATTGGTAAATATCATCTTGTTTAATATCACACTGGTTAATATCATTTTGTTTAATATCACACTGGTAAATATCATGTGGTTTAATATCACACTGGTTAATATCATGATGTTTAATATTACACTGATTAATATCATGTATTTCTGAACAATTTGTTTCTCTCTTTATATAAATGTGGTATGTTGCTTTACCTTATTTGACTTCTATTCAAATCATGGTCTTTGACCAGTTTCCCAACACCTTTACTGTGAAGAGCATGTACAATTGCTGTAAAAATCTTACTTAAGTGGACTAAAATTTTAGCATATTATCAAATTATAACAGGTTAGTGAATTGAGGAATTGTCAAAAGATGTTATAAAAAACTATATATGAAAACTTTAATTGGCATAATCATAATTAAGCACAATACTTCAGTCGTGAAAAGTGTGGAAACAAAAATACTGCTAAAATATGTAGGCACACAGTACTTTACATGGCTAGAAATGCGTGAAAACTTTTGTGACTGTTCTTTCTGCCCTGAGTGTCCATTTTCATAAATCAGCTTTGTGTGAAGCAGCTGTTGATATTTTTTCATTGACTACCAGATTTTAATGATACTTAAACACTGAGTTTTCATAGAAAAAAAAAAAAAATGTTTTTGATGATTTATCAGATCACTCTTGATCACATTTCCCCTGACAAATATGTATATTATGAAAAATTTACTGTCATTATGCAAAATGTCTAATAATGTGTAAATAATTGCAAATCACTTGTAATTTCATCTGTCCGTCAATGTCAGATTATAGGCTAAACACGTTTTCGAAGCCTAGAACGTTAACAGCCTTAAGCACTTGATGGTCTCATTTGTACAGAGCAAATAAACCTCATCTAATACTTTTGTTCAAATAAGGCCAATTGAATTGGCACGACAGTTTTACTTTGGCAAAGATTTATTGCAAATCATGAAGTTGTCGTTATCAATGGCCGCTGCTTGGCAAGATTGTTTTAATTTGGGGACAGTATGTGCTTATTGATGTGACTAATACCATTTAACAGCTGCCTGCCTCACTCGAAAGCTTCATTACAGACTCGCAAAAAGTACGAGAAATAGATGATCAAATTGATTTCCGTTAAGACAAATGTGTTGGGTGTATAATTTTCCCATTTATTTCTGTTTGAGTGATGTACTTCGGACTTCAGTGTTCCTGGGTCAGATTACAAAAATCTTTCTTGAAAATTGTATTTCTTGTTTGCTGTATCTGCAATTTATTTTCACTTACCAGGTCAGAAATGTATGAAGAGTTTGCCATCATATGTACATTTTTTCTATTCAACATTTGCCAAAAATAAACTTTATAACAGTAAACTATTTAAGGATTTAAGTTAAGATGTTTGAAAATTTTGAAAATATGAAACCTAACAAATTCCAAATATATTCCATGATCTGTGATTTTATACCTTCATTTACAAAATTGCTAAAAAATTGCGAAACCACAAAGAAAAATTAATATGGTTGTATCATTTTGGAGTGGTTATTTTTTTGGTTTCTGACATATCATACATGAGCTATTTAACAAGGGATAACAAGTTAATCATAATTCAGTTGATTCCATTCAGGATTTCCTGTCAAAGTTACGATTTGAGATAGTGTTCTGTTTGAACCCCAATGTAATGACTTTATCATTGCAGGGATCAATCTAGGTTTAAGGGGATCTACCCTTTTTCAGATTTGGGAGAAATTAGAATTTTGATACAAGGCTCTAGCGTTATGAAGGTAAAAGATAAATGTTTTGTCCGACATACATGTGTGCAGTATATATTGAATTTGTAGAACTTTTGTTTAATTTATGTTTTTGTTTTGAAATGTATATATGCAGTATTATGTATTTTAATTGTTGAACTTTAAAAGAAAACATGGGGGAAATATTTTGACGAAAATTACTATTTTCTTGTTGAAAAAGGGGAATTTTGAAGCACACGGGGAATTTGAAAGGACGGTAATTTTTCTTCTGTAGGGGAAACTACCCATAAAGGATAGCGAATCAAGTCTAGATTGATCACATGTATAAATTCTTGTCCGTCATACCGTATGTGCCTTAACAACAGTATAAATAACAGAGTTGGTATATTTACCTGGAGTGTTTACAATAAATCTGTTTTATACCCCCGTCAAATTTGGCCAGCGTAAACTTTTGTTTGTCCGGCAATCTCCTCCTACATTTTTCGACCGATCTCTTTGAAACTTGGTAAACATTTTAATCATGATATAAAGTTGTGTCTCCTGATTCAACAATTTTTCCAAAAGTTATTGCCCTTTGTTCATTTCAGTATTTGATTTTTTGTCCGGAGATCTCCTCCTACATTTTTTGACTGATCTCTTTGAAACTTAATAGGCTAAATTATCATGATATGTTGTTGTGTTTCCTTTAAAAGAATTATGATTCAACAATATTTGCAAAAGTTGTTGCCCTTTGTTTATTTCAGTATTTGATTTTTGACCGGCAATCCCCTCCTACATTTTTCAACGGATCTCTTTGAAACTTGGTATACTTTATAATCAAGATATGAAGTTGTGGCTCCCTTAAAAGAATTTTGATGCAACGATTTTTGCAAAAGTGATGGCCTTTTGTTCATTTCAGTTATTTGATTTTTTTGTCCGGAGATTTTCTCCTAATTTTTTAATAGCATGTCAGCCAACCACTCTTAGAATGTTGTAGATCTTTTTTCAATGTAAGAAAGTATATACCACTATTAGGCATTCGACAGGCGTATTTTGTTCCGCCCCGCGGTACTCTTGTTAGATTAGTGGTTGATAAACTTTCAAAATAATTCATTACTGTAATACTTGTGAGGTACAATCTGTTCAGCTTAGATTTAGTAGATCATGATCAGGGAACATCTGTCAGCTTGTCAGTTTTTAAAACTTCATATGGTACATAAAACATAGATTAAACTTTCGGAAAATAATTATCAGTTTATTTATGTGATATATATATATGTCAGTATGTTTTTTATGTTCTGTCGGGGGCATTATATATACAGCTTTATTCATGAACCTGGTTTCAGGAATGAGACATCATTTTTCAAGTTACTGTGATATTTATTTTCCTTAATTGGCTCGTTAATCAGTTGGGAAAGTGTTGGTCATGACCTGGGATATTGTGATTGGTGAATATAATCAGGTTATTATGATTTTATTGGTGATCAATTAATAATTGGATTACGTTATATTAACTCATTCCTCGTTTCCAAGGTATATGTTCGCTGGCAGTCATTTTAATCTCAATGGAAGTTTTCCACGTTAAAACTAACCACATCTTGATGTTCAAATGTAATAAAATTAATGGCCACCATAGCTGGTACATTTATCTTACTCTCCATACCTAGTACATTTATCTTACTCTCCATACTTAGTACATTATCTTACTCTCCATACCTTGTACATTATCTTACTCTCCATGCCTTGTACATTTATCTTACTCTCCGTACCTAGCACATTATCTTACTCTCCATACCTAGTACATTATCTTTCTCTCCATACCTAGTACATTATCTTACTCTCGTACCTAGTACATTTATCTTACTCTCCATACCTTGTACATTGATCTTACTCTCCATACCTAGTACATTATCTTTCTCTCCATACCTAGTACATTATCTTACTCTCGTACCTAGTACATTTATCTTACTCTCCATACTTAGTACATTATCTTACTCTCCATACCTTGTACATTATCTTACTATCCATACCTTGTACATTTATCTTACTCTCCATACCCAGTACATTTATCTTACTCTCCATAGCTAGTACATTTATCTTACTCTCCATACCTAGTACATTATCTTTCTCTCCATACCTAGTACATTATCTTACTCTCCATACCTTATACATTTATCTTACTCTCCATACCTTGTACATTGATCTTACTCTCCATACCTAGTACATTATCTTACTCTCGTACCTAGTACATTTATCTTACTCTCCATACCTTGTACATTTATCTTACTCTCCGTACCTAGTACATTTATCTTACTCTCCATACCTAGTACATTATCTTTCTCTCCATACCTAGTACATTATCTTACTCTCCATACCTGGTACATTTATCTTACTCTCCATACCTTGTACATTTATCTTACTCTCCGTACCTAGTACATTATCTTACTCTCCATACCTAGTACATTATCTTACTCTCCATACCTAGTACATTTATCTTACTCTCCATAGCTAGTACATTTATCTTACTATCCATACCTTGTACATGTATCTTACCCTCCATACCTTGTACATTATCTTACTCTCCATACCTAGTACATTTATCTTTCTCTCCATACCTAGTACATTTATCTTACCCTCCATACCAAGTTCATTTATCTTACTAGTACATTATCTTACTCTCGTACCTAGTACATTTATCTTACCCTCCATAGCTAGTACATTTATCTTCCTCTCCATACCTAGTACATTTATCTTCCTCTCCATAGCTAGTACATTTATCTTCCTCTCCATACCTAGTACATTTAACTTACTCTCCATACCTTGTACACTTATCTTACTCTCCGTACCTAGTACATTATCTTACTCTCCATACCTTGTACATTTATCTTACTCTCCGTACCTAGTACATTTATCTTACTCTCCATAGCTAGTACATTTATCTTACTCTCCATACCAAGTTCATTTATCTTACTCTCCATAGCTAGTACATTTATCTTACTCTCCATACATACAAAACTTTCATGATTCTCAAATAACACAATTCATTTTCCAGACACATATTATTATGTAATTAAAAACAGGATTCTAGGACCAACATTTTTATTTCAAACTTTTGTTACTTGATAAATATATTCCACTCACTTGCATAGCCTTTATATTATTGTTACCATGGTAGTGTATATTGGTATACATTACCGTAATAGCGTAATATTTCGTTGGGGGTTGAATTTTGTTTATTTCGTGGTTTGATAAAAGCCTTGAATTATAATCCCAACAAAATTTTAAACACAAGAAATATAACCTGAACGAAATTATTAATAATATTTGTAACACAGTTATTATTACACATTTTGTGTATATCGCTCTTTGTTTATGTTTATTTGACTGATACCCATCGAGAAAGTAAACCTCACCCCATCTAGCTTGCCTGTACTATATTTACCTGCACTGTCAATTCAATCTTCTCACTTACCAGAAAAAAATACAGGTTTTCAAATATTGATTCCACGAAATATAATCCCAACGAATCTACCCATATACAAAAGCAGTTACAGGATAGTTACAGGATAGTTACAGGTTAGTTACAGGATAGTTACAAGATAGTTACAATCGGTTACATACAGTTTCTATAAAGTACAGGATCACAACCAGTGTAGTTCATTGTTTGTATTTACATTTTTAGAAATATTCATATAAAGAAATAGAAACACTCATCAGAAATTACCTTTGCATTTGTTTAATCAACTGATTCAGGGTGGTGAAAGTGAACATGGTGCCATTAAAATGTTATGCTGGACACTTCTGTTTTTGCTCTTTGGTGCTATGATTTCTCTAAGAGTGTGGTTGCTTCATGTATAATTTCATATAAGGCAAATACAGTTAAAACATTCATAAGTATTTAAATGTATGCTTCAAAGTTTTAGATATCCTGTATATTGTTAGAATACCTTCATAATGACAATCAGAGTTTAGCAGACAATACCATATTTTACTTTCTTCCATCCCAGAAATTTGCCGCGAGCTATCGGTATCTCACTGCCGTTGGTGACCGTCATCTACGTCCTGGCCAACATAGCGTACTTTGCTGTTCTCACCCCCCTGGAAATGTTAAGGTCCGACGCTATAGCCGTGGTGAGTACATTCCGATACAATCCATCTTAGACAAGTTTTTTTGTTGTTTTATATATAGCAATGTCAAGGTCACATGTTATAGGTCAAGGTCACATTCCTAACCCTATGGTACTTGGAGTAATTAATGACACATATATTGTGCTATCTGTCAATGTCAGCATCTTGGTCAGTCACTGTTCAGCTCTCCAGGTTTTAATCATTAGTATCCTGCAGTCAATGTTAGGTCGTTGGTTGCTACTGAAGTAAGATCCTTTGTTCTTATAATTGTACTATTATGTATTTTTTTCAATTTCATTAACTTGTACAAACTGAAATGTAGAACCATAAGGTGTTATGGTTAATGGACCCTTATGACAACAACACCAGTGTAGGTATTTAGCGTTTTAGTTCAGAAAGACATATTAGGGGCTCTGGATGAGCTGCAACATTGTCCATCCTATTTATATATATATAGGAACGGTGTCAATGAAATAGCAGATCTTCCGTTGAGATAAATTGGTCATCTGCAGTAAAAAAAAAAGTCGAACTAGAAGATTTCTATGAAGTTTATGTAACTTATTCTATTAAACCCGTTTTTGCTGGTTTCCATTGTAGACATTTGCTGATCGGACCTTAGGTGTAATGGCCTGGACGATGCCTGTATTTGTAGCCTGCTCAACGTTTGGTGGTCTTAATGGGGCCATCTTTACCTCCGCCAGGTAACAATTATCTCCGGTTTAACCACTGTATATTTACAGCTACCTGACTTTGTGTCCAGCCTCATGCTGAGTCATTTAATATGTACTTTGTTACTTTTAGAGGTTTATAGCCTGCATTCAATAACAACCTCTATTTAACCCAGATTTAGTTGATTCATGTGACTGCACTCTGGGAATTTTGACAAAATTTTGATAAATATTATACTTCTTACCCTGACCCCAGTATTTGTAGATTGTAAATGTGAATGGGATTGTTGCCTTCACAGCTTCCTCACAGCTTGTAGCTATTGTTATAGCTCGACTGCCCGACCTAAGTCAGAGTACTGTATTGTTATGGTGACAGCCGGTGTAAATATCATGTGAAATGGTAACATTCCTTGGTTATGACCTTCTATATTATATACTCGGGTAGCTGTGCAGCTTGAAATAAGTGTACCTCGTTAATTTTGGATATGTGGTTACATGGTCATCACTCATTGCAATGTGACAAGAAACTGTATTTTCAGAAAGGCAAAACTGGTGGCATTTTCCCAACTTTTTCAGTCTTAATTAATTCACAAAATATTCAGTTGTACATGCTTTGGTTGAGTGGGTGAAAAAAGGTAATCCAAGTCATTCCCATTCTGTTACACTTTTATGAAACTTGATAAATCTCATTAACAAAAACCATTTGTGTGCTATCTTCAAATGAATTTATCTGGGTACTGTGTTTAATTTCTATGACCAATGTAAGTGGCTCTTAGCTGACTGAGTTTCTGATATCTGCCAGTGCACAAAGGTACCTCTCAAGCTACTAGTCCTCTTCAACTAGAGTTAAACATAATCTTCATTTCACATCTGTTGAAATCAGCAGCAATAGGTTTGTCAATGGCCGTCCTAATATAAGGAATAATGCATAGGATTTATTAATACTAGCACATTTAATTCTAGCGCTCAAGACCACCTAGCCAAGCTATGTTGAGACATCAAATATCTACTTCAAAGGGATAATTTAGTGAAACAAGTTTTTTTTATAACGTTGTCACAAAATTCTTCATGATAATGTAGTTTGATACCCCTAAAGAACAATTTATGTCGAGAAATTGACAAGAGACAATGTTTTCTTCGCATTTTGAATCAGTAACGGAGAAATCCTTAACTGTACAGCGACGGTTTAGCGGCTGCAGTAGCTAACAAAAAGGTCTTTCCCACCGAGGAGAGAAGGTAACTCCTCGCTGTATTCACCTAGCCTCTCTGGAATACAATGCAAGTACATGCATTTATTCTGAATCAAAATCATCTTCCAACATCATCTTAATCTCAAACATCGTTATGAATGATCGATTGAGCTATTGATGTCGTACTTTATGCAGTTTGAAATTCTCCCTGCGGCACCCTCTCTAATTGCTCTTTCAACTCCAAATATGAATAGAAATATCTGATTGGAGGTATAAATTATGATACTTATAATTCTTACTTGTGATACATTGTGTAAATTCAAGAATGCGTTGTGTGTGAACTCAGACTCGTAACTGGCACTGTTGTTGTCGGTCGACAGCGTAGTGCTGTACTTGTTTACTTCTCACTGAAAGACCTCGATATTGAACTATTTCTGTCGTAGCTATTTTTATCACAGGCTTTCCCAAAAGATGAAACTGACCAGACTGGACGTTGGCGTCAGGTCATGCCATTATCAACTACGAAAAGTGTCGTTAGGAGATATATATTTTCAGTATCAACTCGGTTTTCAGGTTGTCACTTGACTAAATAGCCCCTTTAAACTGTTGATATCTGTACTTGTATTAAACACCTTGTCAGTTAAGATTTTCAGGATACAATTTTCTTTTTCTAATTTTCTCCCCAGGTTATTTTTTGTTGGAGCCCGTCAAGGACATTTACCAGGTTTCCTAGCAACCATAAACTACAAATTTTTCACACCTCTGCCTTCACTGGTATTTGGGGTAGGTATCATACATGTTGGTTACCATTGCAAGCTTTGTCAGATTAATGACATTTCAGGTAAAAAAATGTGAGGAGATTCCAGACAATCATACTGTCATTAAATTGTCCTGACTTTTAATAATATTGGCATCACTCTGTCTTAGGAGGCGGTGGTGCCCTTCGGATCCCCACAAATGGTGTTCATGCGATAGAGTGATAAACACATCTACTTCAATAGGGTTCTTGTATTGATATGTGTCTAGTACTTAAACTTTTAGATAACTTTCATGCGAAAGATTATTTGATATTCTTTGTCCTCGGGATGACAGTTTTGAATCCATAAAGCATGCCATTTGGGTTTTGAATTCCTGGTTCTTAACACTAGATACAATGTATATAGATCAACATTTTCAGTATTTTAAGATTCTATTCTTAAGTTGCCTCCACTTGGAATTTTCTGCTGCTAGCTATGTCCCTGTAAGAAGAGCAAATACTCTAACTTGTATTTGCTCATTTACAAAACATGCCAGATTTTATATTAATGCAATATAATATGCACATTAATATTTTAAGGGTAAAAAATGTCTTATTTATTAAATCTGCAAGTTTATAACAGATTTAGAAACTAAAAAAGTTAACATTAACTCCATAATCTTTAAAAAGGACAATTGTAATTGTGTATTACTTGGATCCTAATTTTGGTTTATAAGTATCTTTAGTTCTTAAAATATATTCCTTTATGATATGATATCCTTCAGTGTAGTATCCCTTCTCCCTGTACACAAACAAATTTCACCAAGATGGCTGCTCAAATTTGCAATAAGATTGACAAAAGATCAAGAAAATAATGTAATAGACCAAATAATTCAACTCCATGTGTATGAATGTAATATTATATTTCCAGTTCCAAACAGGTTTATGAATGTTCTATTTTCCAGTGTATTATGTCTATCATCATGCTGTGCTGGGGGGACGATATGTACGCATTAATTAACTACGCCAGTTTTGTGGAGTCCTCCTTTATTGGAATTAGCATAGCGGGCATGTTGTACTTGAGGTACAAACACCCGGAATGGGAACGACCTATCAAGGTAAGGCTCTACAAACACCCTAACTGGGAACGACCTATCGGGGTAAGGCTCTCTTATGGTACATGTTGTACACGAGGTACAAACACCCTAACTGGGAACGACCTATCAGGGTAAGGCTCTCTTATGATACATGTTGTACACGAGGTACAAACACCCGGACTGGGAACAACCTTTCAAGGTAAGGATCTCTTATGATACATGTTGTACACGAGGTACAAACACCCTCACTGGGAACGACCTATCAGGGTAAGGCTCTCTTATGATACATGTTGTACAGGAGGTACAAACACCCGGACTGGGAACAACCTTTCAAGGTAAGGATCCCTTATGATACATGTTGTACACGAGGTACAAACACCCTCACTGGGAACGACCTATCAGGGTAAGGCTCTCTTATGATACATGTTGTACACGGGGTACAAACACCCTGACTGGGAACAACCTTTCAAGGTAAGGCTCTCTTATGATACATGTTGTACAGGAGGTACAAACACCCGGACTGGGAACAACCTTTCAAGGTAAGGATCTCTTATGATACATGTTGTAGACGAGGTACAAACACCCTCACTGGGAACGACCTATCAGGGTAAGGCTCTCTTATGATACATTTTGTACACGAGGTACAAACACCCTGACTGGGAACGACCTATCACGGAAAGGCTATCTTATGATACATGTTGTACACGAGGTACAAACACCCTGACTGGGAACGACCTATCACGGTAAGGCTATCTTATGCTACATGTTGTACACGAGGTACAAACACCCTTACTGGGAACAACCTATCAGGGTAAGGCTATCTTATGATACGTGTTGTACACGAGGTACAAACACCCTTACTGGGAACGACCTATCAGGGTAAGGCTCTACAAACACCCTGACTGGGAACGACCTTCAAGGTAAGGCTCTCTTATGATACATGTTGTACACGAGGTACAAACACCCTGACTGGGAACGACCTATCAAGGTAAGGCTCTACAAACACCCTGACTGGGAACGACCTATCAGGGTAAGGCTCTCTTATGATACATGTTGTACACGAGGTACAACCACCCTGACTGGGAACGACCTATCAAGGTAAGGCTCTCTTATGATACATGTTGTACACGAGGTACAAACACCCTGACTGGGAACGACCTATCAGGGTAAGGCTCTCTTATGATCCATATTGTACACGAGGTACAAACACCCTGACTGGGAACGACCTATCAGGGGAAGGCTCTCTTATGATACATGTTGTACACGAGGTACAACCACCCTGACTGGGAACGACCTATCAGGGTAAGGCTCTCTTATGATACATGTTGTACACGAGGTATAAACACCCTTACTGGGAACGACCTATCAGGGTAAGGCTCTCTTATGATACATGTTGTACTTGAGGTACAAACACCCAGACATGCTACACAAATCTCATTTTACTGGATTTTAACACAACTTCAGATTTATTATTGCATAGACATTTTTATTTGAATATTTTCGTTATTTAATCTGTTCATGTTGTGATGTTTGTCACGATTGTTTACTTTGCAATGTTCATTGATGGATATATTATGCATGCACCCGAATTAAATAGTTTATTTCAAACCACAAGGTTTTTTTAAGTTCTACAGGAATACTGTTGTAAACTATATAACTATTGAAATCCTAAAAGGCTTCATGTATCACAGTACAAAGGTTTCATCTTAAATTGAGGTAAAGCCAGATATGCGTCCTGTTAGGTAAACACATTTGAAACTTACACTGTATCTAATTTCAGAAGTTTATTTTAGTATAGCATTGTATTCGTTGACAGAATATTAAGTTACCAAGTGATGTGTCAGGAAACATTCTTCAAGTTTTAGTATTTCAAATAAAAGAAATTAGTGGATACAAAATAGTTTGAAACTGAAATCCAATATATTTTGGAAAAAAATAATCTCCCCTGCCTCTTGTTGACACTATAAAAGAGTCGCTGCATTCTTAGGTCACCTGTGCATGTGGTTGCCATTTGTCTGTCAGAAAAAAATCAAATTTTTGTGTTCTCAGAGAATGTCTTTGCTTAGTAGTTATCATAAGTATCTCTACTCCAGAATGTCAAGATGGGGCTAAGGATTTATGATCTAAAAGGGAGCTGAGTGATGGGGGTTGTTAGGGATCACAGAGTGCAAAACCTTCAGAAGACATCTCTCCAGATACATAGTGTTTAATATTGTGTATTATTTCACCTATTTATCCATAATGAGGTTCAAAATCTTCAAATGACATCTCTATGAATTACTCACAAAAACAGATCTCTAATTATCTATTCATATTTTTCCATTCAGGTGCATATATTCTTCCCCATTTTCTTCATGGCCATCTGTCTGTTTCTGTTCATCATGCCTCTAACGGCGAGCCCCACGGAGTGTTTTATGGGTCTGCTCATGGTTGCTACAGGGATTCCGGTGTACATCTTGGGAGTCATGTGGGAAAACAAACCAGAGGCCTTCAAAGTTTTAACAGGTCAGTATTAAATGTTATTTTGTTACTCTCATAGAATACAGATGGAAACTTATCCTTTGAATAAATAATATACTATGAAATATCCTAACTAAGGTAGGGGTCCAGATTCAAAAAAAAAAAGAAAAAAAAAAGAAAAAGAAAAAGTAGAACTACACCGCTTGGTTGGTTCCTGATTACCAGGTATCAGTCTGTTAAAGTCAGAAGAATGACATTGTAGAATAGCTTGGCTACTATTTAGTGTGTTGCCAATAGCGGTGATTATAGAGGAAGAACAGTTCTAATTGTCCATGGATACTTAACAAAATGATATGCATCCCTAGGTGGTAGGGATTGAAAATTGTACAAATGGTGGGGATCCCCACCCTATAACCATATATACAATTGCTGAGTGTAAAGAGAAGAATGCACTTATGCTTCCAGGATGGCCCTGGGGTCTGGCCCCACCCTTGGAGACATAGTCCCTGGGTCATAACTTTGAAACGGTTGAGATCCCCACCCCAAAACGTTTTATACAAAGTCTGGGCATAAAGAGACGAATGCAGTCATGATATTAGAATAAACCCTGGGGTCTGACCAAACCCCTTGAGACCTAATTTCTGAGTCACAGCTTTGAAACAGTTGAGATCCCCATCCTATAACCATATATACAATTGCTGAGTATAAAGAAAGAGACAAATGCACATATGCTTCCATGATGGCCCCTGGGTCTGCCCCACCCTTGGAGACTTAACCCATGGGGTCATAACTTCGAAACAGTTAAGATCCTCACCCCAAAACTATATATATAATTGATTGGCATAAAGAGACGAAAGCAGTCATGATATTAGAATTGACCCCGTGGTCTGCCCTACCACCCTTGCAGACTTAACCCCTGGGTCAGAACTTTGAAACAATTGAGATCCCCAACCCAAAACTATATATACAAACACTGGGAATAAAGAGGCGAATGCAGTCATGAAATTAGAATTGATCCTGGGGTCTGGCCACAACCCTAGGGACCTAGTTTTTGAGTCACAGCTTGAAAACAGTTGTGATCCCCACCCCATAACCATACATAAAACTGCAGAGCATGAAAAATCTTCAACAGATATGCTACAAGGATTGGTCTTGGGGTCTGGCCCATTCCCTTGGATCTTATTTGGAGAATATTTTGCTATGATTGCTTAGGTATCCAGGTGAGTGATACAGGCCCTCTGGGCCTCTTGTTCTTTTTAGCTCGCCAGAGGCTCGCTAAATTGAAAAATTCTTAGACTCGTTCATAAATCTCATATGAAATGGAAACTCATGGAAGATCCTATATGGATATGTAGAAGAAAGAAATATCAGGTAATGTTCAATAAAATGTATTTCTTTGAACATGGTAACTATATATATACTTGTATCTATTTATATGTTGTGTAACTTCCTATTTCAGAAAAGTTTACCAAATTCACCCAGAAACTGTGTTTGGGTGTGAGGGAAGAAATGAAAGAAGACTGAAGATACTTGCTTGATGCTGTGATTAGAATGGACAATAATAACACAGAATAGCCCTACGCTGACCAGATACTACAGAAGGACCACAATGACAAACAGCATTGTTCGACAGTGTTAGAACAATGAAACTACTCAAACTATATGCATGTCAAATATCAGTCTTATCACCTCAAAATCATTCCTACGCAGCCTAAATCATCGTAAGGCATTGATGTTGATCACTTTGACTTGTCATAATATATTGTGGTAGAAATTCACAACTCATGAAATTTGTTTATCATGTTTTGCAAACTCTCAATAGTTATTTTTCAGATTTGAAAAGAAAAAGAATTGCTAAAGCTCAATTTATTTTTTGAAAATTACCAATATTTTTCAGAACCTCATTATTCTACAATCTTTCATTATTGAAATTAAATGTATCCTCAAATTTTAGAAATTAAGGTTCAGGACCTGTTTAAGTCTCATTAAGTCCTGTACCTTTTAGTATATTAAACATATGTATTCTGTCAGTTTAACAGTCAAGTGGTTCACAATTTGACTGGGTTATTCTTGTAGATTTGAAGGCATAAGAATTATACAAGGTTGGCTCCAAATTATCTGTAAAACAAAGGGTGGAGAGAAGGGTGTCTTTGGCACAATCTGAATTTGGGGTTTTAATGTAGACTGTTAAATCTTGCGATAGAAAACTGATACAATTTGTGAAATCATTTTAGACTGGTAATTTGTATTCACAGTGAAAAAATAGCCAACAACTGATTTAAATAGAGAAGGTTTATGATGGTATAAAACCAACCGACAATATCCTAGCCTAATGTGATAATTGATGTCTCGCGGACCAAAATTCATTGGTTATCATTAGTGCGACACTTTTTCTCTTGGGTGATATGTGTTTTATGAATAGCTGTTCCAGCCAATCTCCTTCCATAGTTTTGATGAAGTGAATAATCGAGATCATTCAAAATCTTTGGGGTGCTAAGATAGTGTAATGTTGATGCTCAGGTGTTTTGAATTTGATTCAAACCCCAACACATGGCAGTTTAGATGTTGTTTGTAACTTAAAACTTTTTGATGCTGATATGTTTTAATTTAGTTTAAACTCTGACACATTAAGATTTGAATATCGTCTTAACTCCATAAACTTTTTTTTCTATGCTCTTGTGTTTTATTTTGGTTCTAACTTTTACATATCTGGATTTAAATGTTGTCCAATGCTTTGTGAAAGATTTTGATGATCAGTTATTTTAAAAATTTGGTTCAAACTCATACTTATCTAGATTTAAATTTTGACCGTTGATTTTAGAAATGTTTTGATGGTCATATATTTTTATTTGGTTTCAAACACATCAAGGTTTAATTGTCTAAATCTTTTGGAAATAATATGCAGTTTTATTATTAGTTTTCACATCACAGTACAATTCATTATGAATAGTTGGCAAGATCCCATTATAACTCAGCATTGACATCTGTGTTCTGACTTTGGCATCAACAATTAGATACAAGTGTTCAGATTGTTAATATCCTGAGTTAACAGATACGGTGTTATCCATGTTTAGATAAATATTTGTCCTACATTAGGTATACGTTGTTAAAATCTTTCTGGAAGTAGCATTATTCTTTATTTTATTAATCCTTTGATCTCTTTGTTATAAGTTTATCTCCAAACATGAAATTGTTTTTAAAATACTGTATCAAAGAAAGTGTTTGGACGTTATTTTATGCCAGCTGTTTTTCAGACTTTTGTATGATCAAATCTTTGTCATCTTTTATGGAGTTATTTGATTCTGTTGATTTGTAACCTTTCAATATATTTTGTCAATTTTTACCTCTGTCTATTACAGTCCTCTTTTGCTAGCACTGAGTTATCTGAATTGAAAATAGATATTCAAGTAAATCTGCTATGAGATGTGTTCATTTTGTACAAAACTTGTTGTGAGATGTTTTATTTAAAGATTGACAAGAAACGGTCAGTTCAGACCATTGTCCAAATTTAAGTCCATCTTTGTAGGACTCTGCTTTTACTGCCAGTTACGTTATTAAAAATCTGTAACTTAACATGTGTATGCTTTGTCTGCAGTCACATGCTTTGATTTATACAATACAATTTGATGTAATGAGCTGTAAATGAAATATTTTACTGGGCTTTCGTTTAACATACTGTTAGTTTTGTGTTAAGTGGAAAACCACAATATCCCTTTTAGTCTTGCTGGTATGGAAATTGTTGCTTACTTCCAGGGGAAAGTTCTCTGGTCTTTTTTGTCTTTTTATTGTTACCGAATGCTCATAATATAAAACAATCTTATATTCTGCTTTTTGTGGCCCATCACTTTCAGTTTTATCAAATATGTTGATAGTTATACAAAACAAAACTGTTACAGCTTCCTTTAATTATGTAGGATTATAAGTAAGTTATTGCGTTTGTTGCGTTTGTTGCGTTGTTATGTGCTAGATGTACATGTTTGAATCTCTGTAACAGTTAAAACACATTTTATCTGTTATATTCTATCATATTGTTTTGGTGAGAAGCCCATGCTTGAAATTTATCAACTCTTTATTCCCATTTAACCTTTTTACAAATTTTAAAGATGAGCCTTATCTGAAAATAATTCCTTTGATGATTACAAATTGAATCTTAATTATCTGTAAAAAACAATATTACAATTAATTTTAGTATTAGACAATTTTAATTTATAAAATTTTGTATGGTCTCCAACAGAATGAATTGCATATTTATTTTACTGTGTTCAGTAAAATTAGCATGTACATCGTGGTAAAGGGAGGTAACAACATTAACCCATTTTAGTAGCTAGTAATTCTGTTGTTAAAATAGATAATATATGTTAAGTGTGATATGGTAAAAAATTGAAATCTTGTGTCCTATATACATGTACTGATCTTGAAATCCTTTAACAAAGATATAATAAACATCTTGATCAATAAACAAAAAGTGATCTTTTGTAACAATTCTACAAAAGTGCTCCACTTTGGGTAAAATGAAAGATATAAACTTTATTTATTTTTCAACAATTATTTCAACTTATTTCAATCACTCTTGTTGGCCTGAATAATGGGGGGGGGGGGGTCTAAGTGTGGGAGGAAACTGGAAAACCCACGTGCTCGGAGGTGTTCATGACCCATACCTTTTCACGTCCGATCGGGGAATCGAACCCCAGTCGCCTTGGTGAAAGGCAAGTGCGCTATCCACTGCGCCACCCGACCACATACTTTAGGTACTTTCCAATTTGGGGTACTCTCACCCTATAGGTTTCCCAAACAACCACGCATTATGTTTATACAACCATAGAAAAATGATAAGCATAGTATAGGTTTTATGTAGATGATGCACAGGGTTATTATAGTACAAAATAACTTCATGCACTTGGGTATTAATCAATGTAATATGTACAGTAATTCATCTACCAGAGCTGGGTCAATATACATGTAACTTGCACTGCCCTAAAGGAAACTATTCATTTAGAAAATTTGACTCGGTAAATTTGCTTCCTTGTTAAAGAATATCATTCATAAAAACGTTTTTATATTTGTAATTTAAATATTGTACACCAGAGCTCATATTGGGTATTATTAATTGAAAGCAATAATTCTTTTAATCAATGTAAGTAGTAACACTGCCTTGTTCATAATTAATTTTATTCATCAAAAGCATTTGTTGTTATTTTTTTAAGGATGGGTATTAATATACATGCACTAAGAAATAATAGATTGATATAAATTCAACAAATATACTCTTTGACATTGACTTTTGTTCATTAACAATTTATTGGTGTTTTTACTTAAATATTATGCACAGGCTGATGTTATACTAGTGTAGATATTACCGACAATGACTAAGGAATTCTTTTTATTTAGCTTTCTTAATTTGCACTATTGTTATAGAATCTCACAGGTTATTCTCTAATTTGATTTGTATTGTTGTAAGTGTTGTTTGCAAAGTGTTTGACTATAGTTTTCTATGTTGCACAGTTAAAATGTGTTCTTCCTAACCTGACTCTTGCCAATCCACATGTGAACTTGTTCCTGTGTGTGGTACGGAGAGTTGTTAAATTTATTTGGATATATTTAACTGGTTACATTTGCTCTGTATTAATTATTGGAAAATGCTGTATTCCATTTTCTCCTGTAAACTACTGTTATTGATACTCCAAACCCTGTACAATAGCAAACCCTGTACAATAGCAAACCCTGTACAATAGCCTTTGTTGATGTACTAAAACTTCTACAGGTAAACATGACTATGAACTTCGTACTAAAACTTCTACAGGTAAACATGACTATGAACTTCAAGTTATTATTACTCATTATGAAGTAGTAGTTGTCTCCCTTGTTAAAGAATAAAAAAGTCTTCAATAAATTTTACTTTTATTAATTGATACCTTATTACCTCCGAGTTTGTTTTAAAAATGTGCTGGTTTACTGTACATAATAACCGTTCTGTAAAGTCATTGATTATATAAACCACAGGTTTTACTATAGATATTACTGTAATCTCTACAATCCACAGGTTTTACTGTAGATATTACTGTAATCTCTACAATGCTGACTAACATGACATTTTATATAGTAACCACTAACTACACTTACATTTAGGAATCTGTCAGCATCCCTTGTTATCATGGCCAATAAATTAAAAGTTCATTTGTTGTTGGTATCATAATTTTCTTTTATTATTGATATATTCATCAAATTATGTTTTTTGTATTTTTTACCAATTCATCTTTTCTGATGCTTGATGTGGAAAATCAGACCTAATCTGGTACATTCCAGTCTCTAACAAATATAATATCAAACTATAATGCTGTTTGATATACTGAACAAATTTCTATAAAGAACAAAGTGTATTAAATCTTATGTAAAATAACTTGGCCTTTTTGGACTTGGGCGTTAGAACGTTGTAATGAACATGAGGGAATTTAATAAAAAAAAAAAAATCATAACCCTTTTTGTCATCAGTTGCTTCTCGCTGATCAAATTTCGAAACAACTAACTGAAAATAATCAAAACAAAACAGCTTAAATATTTTAGCTTCATTTTACACAATGGTAACTTGACATTAGTATACGTCATTGTCGTTGTTTTGTCAAACATTAGTCAGGCTGAGTATATGAGAAGAAAATTTAAAAATGTGGCTTCATTTTGAGTCAAGTTTTGGATATAGAGAATAAATGTAGATATGTGATATACCATCGTCAGATACCCACACTCATCGTGGGATGAGTAAGTACCGAAGCGAAATCAACCGTGGGTATCCGACGATGGTGATATATATGTTTAAGTAAAACCACGCTTCATTCGATAATTGTACATTGTAAAGATTTAATACTTTGGATGTACGCTGCTATATTTGTGTATGTATAATATTCATGCAATCACCGATGCCAGTTTTTATATTTTCAGAAGTGGATGTCTTTCTGGAATGTAGTTTGTATTTTGTGTGAAACTTTCGTTTTTCATGTAAAATTATGTATTTACTTTAAAATGAAAAATCACTTGCGTATAGCTTGTTTACTTGTTAAGTTTTAATCAGACTAGAGTTGAGGAAGGTAGCAAATGATGATCATTACATTGGGGAACAACGTGTGGTTGATTGTAAGGAATCATTTCTACTATACAACCAGAAAGATAGGTTTCCGCTTATCTATATTAATGGTTGAAAGCATTGTGAAAATCGTAAGCTGACTGAAGCAAGTTGAGGATTTTTTACATCACTTATTTATTGCAGTGGAAGTAGTTGTATATATGTTTTAACACAAGTTTGCTGGTGGCAGCTGATAAACTTATATTTATTTAAGCAAAACAGTATAAAAACTTTGCCATACTGCCATGCATATTTTATCTACAAGTCGTTATAATTGTATATACACTGCTATGTTGCTCTCAGTATAAATATGGGTTATATATACATGATAAATACACATTTACTAGGGGACACTATTATACTCTTAAAATATGGAAATGCTCAATGTATTGTTATATATATGTTGTTTGTATTGTATCATTTCTAATCGTATGACTTGTTGACGTCCAGGATTTTAGTGGCTAGCCATACTCTGGCTCCAACCTGATCATACTGTATTATATATTAACTCACTATATTACACTTAGCTGGGTGGTTCAGATTCACCAAAGCACTGGTAACAACATCCTCTTACTTGTGTGTTCTATTTTTGTACATTACTAAACTCTGGGGACTTAACATTCCATTTTCGTCCTGACATGAGAACAGCTGATATTTTATATGGCCGGTCTGAATTTTCTTTGGCTCAAAGTTTCTCTTTTATAAAATTTTGGATATACAAAAAACCGCTAACTCAAGATAAGGAGATATTTTGGGCTAGAAAAGAAACTGTTTTACAGCCAGGTCGGCGTTACACTGTACTTTTAATTAATATTGAATGTAAATGTGTGATAGAACAATGATAATCTGTACTGAGTTAAGGAGAAGGAGTGTGATAATCTGTACTGAGTTAATGAGAAGGAGTGTGATAATCTGTACTGAGTTAAGGAGAAGGAGTGTGATAATCTGTACTGAGTTAAGGAGAATGCTAATCTGTACCGAGTTAATGAGAAGGTGTGTGATAATCTGTACTGGGTTAATGAGAAGGAGTGTGATAATCTGTACTGATTTAATGAGAAGGTGTGTGATAATCTGTACTGAGTTAAGGAGAAGGAGTGTGATAATCTGTACTGAGTTAAGGAGAATAGAACAATGCTAATATGTACTGAATTAAGGAGAAGGAGTGTGATAATCTGTACTGAGTTAAGGAGAATGCTAATCTATACTGAGTTAAGGAGAATGCTAATCTGTACTGAGTTGAGGAGAAGGAGTGTGATAATCTGTACTGAGTTAAGGAGAAGGAGTGTGATAATCTGAACTGAGTTAAGGAGAATGCTAATCTATACTGAGTTAAGGAGAATGCTAATCTGTACTGATTTAAGGAGAATGCTAATCTGTACTGAGTTAAGTAGAATGCTAATCTGTACTGAGTTAAGGAGAACGCTAATCTGTACTGAGTTAAGGAGAATGCTAATCTATACTGAGTTAAGGAGAATGCTAATCTGTACTGATTTAAGGAGAATGCTAATCTGTACTGAGTTAAGGAGAGGGAGTGTGATAATCTGTACTGAGTTAAGGAGAAGGTGTGTGATAATCTGTACTGAGTTAAGGAGAATAGAACAATGCTAATCTGTACTGAGTTGAGGAGAATGCTAATTTGTACTGAGTTAAGGAGAATGCTAATCTGTACTGAGTTAAGGAGAATGCTAATCTGAACTGAGTTAATGAAAAGGAGTGTGATAATCTGTACTGAGTTAAGGATAATAGAACAATGCTAATCTGTACTGAGTTAAGGAGAATGCTAATCTGTACTGAGTTAAGGAGAAGGAGTGTGATAATCTGTACCGGGTTAAGGAGAAGGAGTGTGATAATCTGTACTAAGTTAAGGAGAAGGTGTGTGATAATCTGTACTGAGTTAAGGAGTAGGAGTGTGATAATCTGTACTAAGTTAAGGAGAAGGAGTGTGATAATCTGTACTGAGTTAAGGAGAATAGAACAATGCTAATCTGTACTGAGTTAAGGAGAATGCTAATTTGTACTGAGTTAAGGAGAATGCTAATCTGAACTGAGTTAATGAAAAGGAGTGTGATAATCTGTACTGAGTTAAGGAGAATGCTAATCTGTACTGAGTTAAGAAGTGTGATAATCTGTACCGAGTTAAGGAGTGTGATAATCTGTACTGAGTTAATGAGAATAGAACAAAGCTAATCTGTACTGAGTTAAGGAGAATAGAACAATGATAATCTGTACTAAGATAATGAGAATGCTAATCTGTACTGGGTTAAGGAGAATGATAATCTGTACTGAGTGTGAAAATATTTCAATAAAGAAGGAAACCAAAAACCTCTGTTGGCTTTGTTTTCAATCCACATTACCAGGAAAAATCCTTGGGGCTGAAAGTATTTGTTGATTTTCAGCATGCAACAATTTGAAATGCGTATCAAAATAATAGGGGCAATTCTTTTTAAAGTTCAAAGAAATGAAAAATGTTAAGGTGTCACGAGGGGCTCTTCCAGAATTATCCTAGCGGTCTCGTTTCTCACAGCATTTTGAAAACATTAGCTCAACTGGCCTAAAGGGCCAAGTGAGTTTATTAAGCTTATGTTGTGGCACAGCTCTATCCATCTGTCATCAATTGTTCCTTTAAAAGATTTCTAAAAACCAAAAAGGCCTATAGTCATGATAGTTGGTTGGTAGCTTCATTGGATGGAACCAAACAAAGATTGCGAACAAAGATGACCATGGCCTACCTTCAAGGTTACAGGGGTTAGATGATATATCTTAAACTTCAAATGACTTCTTCTGAAGAACCAAAAGGCATATTATCAGGCTGGTAGCTTCCTTGGATGGAGCCCAATAAACTTAACGAACAAAGCTGACCTTGACTTGCTTCCAATGCAAGGTTACAGAAGTCAAATGTGTCTAAATCTTCAAATGACCTCTTCTGAAGAACTGAAATACCTAGAGTCATGGTATATGGCTGTTAGCTAGCTTGAATAGAGTCCAATAAACTTTGCTAACAAAAATGATCTTGAGTTATTTTTGAGGTTACCGGGGGTCACATACTTGAAATAACAGCTTCTGAAGAATCCATACACTTGATAAAAATGTTTGGTATTTGACAGGTTTTAAATCAAAATGACAAATTCCCGGACAGATGTCGAACTAGGAAAGGATTACTTTCAGTGGCGATAGCAGTACCCATTCCTGCAGCTTGGTAGACTGTTACACTTGGGGTAAAGTGTCTTGTTAAAGGATACCAAACATGACTTGCATGGAAGTTGTGTCCATCAACATTTGGTTTGTAACTGAACACTATCGGTCATCAATTGCTGATGAAGTGTGGACAAGTTTATGCAAATAAATGACCTTATGTCACTAAAGCTCCTGATTTTAAATTCCAAATGATTTTTCGAACCACACAAAAATATACGCATATAAATTATGCTTGTATTACCCCTAGCTTTGTAAGAAGAATTGCTTTCAACTTAATTCAGATGAAAAACTTAAACCTACCTTGAAGACCATATTCTGTTAAGTGTCGTGATACCTTAAGTAACGATATTTTAACTGCAGATTACTGGGACAAAGTGATCAAAAACTAATACAAATACACATAGTTGACTGGTTCACGTGACTCAAATGTGTTGTATATAGTGCTGACATTTGCCCATGAGTAGACGGCTGGGTTAATCTACTTTTGAATGTGGCATTTTCAGGGGTCTAGTATATATCTAATCAAGCTCAAAGGGAAGCATTATGACAGTGTGTCCCTATTTCAGATATAGGTCTTTACCAATCCAGTCCAACTGGTCAAAAGGTTTGGATTGTTATTGCGGACAAAACCCTGTAGATTACTGGTCGAAGAGGTAACTCGTTAGTAATCTGAATGACTTCCACCCACTTCCGACGCCAAACAGTCAAAGGGATAAAATTATAGTTTAACATTTCAAATAATTGTATATATATACAGTGGTGCGATGAACTGGAGTCTGTATTCCGGATGAAAGGGCTACCAACTATGCTTAAATGAATTACCTATAAAGGGTACTGAGAGGTGAAACAGTTATATTAACATTGTCGCTATTAGGAAATATTTGTTCAAATCTTTTTCAAAAGAAATACGCCATAAAAATCACATGATGTGGTGCATTTCACAGAATTATGGTTGCAAGTAATTTAAATGTCTGAAATTCTTTCCAAATTTGGATCTTTTTGTTCGGTTTTTAAATAAGAATTGGTTTGGAAATATTTCCCATTAAATCTGCATTTCTAGAAAAGCAAATACTATATATATGTACTGTACCAAACCAGACGGAAAACAATGAACGATTTTCTGACCACTTCATTCAAAATAAAAGCTGTGTTCCTGCATGGACTGTCGTTTGAACTTTGATGATTAACTTGCCCCTGCTAATTATTTGGAATTTATGAACATGAAACTTATGAAATTTATAACTTTTCATTTTTCTTTATCTAATACTCTGGTGATACTGAATGTGTATAACACTAGAGTTATAGCTTCATACATAGAGAATCTATATTAATTTGAACGAATTAACATTGACATGAGTTGTGTCTTTTTATTACTTAGATAAAATAGATCGATAATTCTCAATAGTACAAAACTAAAATGTAACATGTTTTGTACTGGGATGAGAGCTAAAGTTGTATACCTGTCACCAAATGTTATAACAGAAAGACGCATGATACCAAGATTGTTCAACATTTTATATATTGAGTAAGTCCTGAAAAAAACTTAATATGATGATGTTACTTCCAAAAGTCGAAGAATGAATTTTATCAATTTCACGTGGTTTTAATTTTGTAAAGCGTGCAGACGGAACTTTTTTGCTTCTCGTGATTAAATTACTTCTCCTGGACTCGTATGAAATAATAAGACCTCCCTCTATTCGGAACATTTCGACATATCCAACTAGGAAAATCATAAATCGAGAGAACATACGAAAGTCGGAAGATGGCGGAAGGTGGAGGGGAAGAAGAAAACCCCTTTTCTTTCAAGAAGTTTGTGTCTAAAACAGATAAAAAGGAAAATGACAATAATGACAACAGTAACGACGATTTTGAAGTTGATTCACTTCCCGATATCAGCTTATCGAGCCAAATCAAAGAAAAGGCGCCTGTCGTGAAAGAAGGTGGGCTGGGTTATCGTTTCTGCGATCTTTGTTCACCCAAAAGAGTTATCCCTATCTAAGCATATCTATATATTATTTAGTGAGAACCCTTTTATTCAGTTATCTGGTATCGTTGATATCATATCTGGTTTTGCAATGATTTAGTTTATACAACGCTTTATAAAGATTATACTGGTTCGTATGCAATATTATTTATGACGATGTAACCGTAGCTTCCTCTGGCCCAAACATTTACATTTTGATATATATCGTATATGTTTGGTGTGGGGTTTTGACAGGAAGATGTTTGTTGTTTGAATCCCACACCTGACATTCATCTGTCCAAAGATGGAAAATAAGATTCGCTTTCGGCTTGGGGCCAGAGGAATCTTGGTGTCTGAGATGTATTGAATTTAAGGTTCAACAAGCCCCCCTAAAAGACGTAATAGTCACCCTAAATTTTAACCCCCTGGCAAGTCATATTCAAATATCCTTATCAAAAATCGGAATATATATATATTTAAATAAAGTATATTGAACTTGTACATGAGCTATTAAAAAGGTACAATATAATTATAACCATGTTAACGAAGTCAAAATACGGCATTAAGGCTGATGTAATGATAAAAGTTGCTCACCAGATTTATAACATGTCAATCAATTTAGTGACCCAACTGAATGTTACGAAATGACATGTTATTTGAAGATCATTTATAAACCTAGGTCATGCAGGGCTTTATTTCTCTTAAACTATGTGTGGAGAGGCATACCGGCCTCACAAGAAGATGATTGTTGCTATAGGAAAGTACAAAAATCATAGTAAAACATCTGTGTAACATATTTTACTGGTATATATGTGTAACAGGAGAGGAAAATGCACGGCCAGACCTGGGGTCGAACCCAGGACCCTCCGAACTCTAAACAGATGCTCTAGTAATTGAGCTATCTGGTCGCCGACGATCGACCCAGTCCAGTTCTGCTACGTTCCTCACTCCTATAACAAAGTCTTCGACCTCGAGACACACGAGAGTCGAGACCCTATACCACCTTCTGTGGGTATATTTCGTTGGGCACCAAATATAACAGGAGAGGAAAAATGCACGGCCAGACCGGGTTCCAACCCGGGACCTTCCAAACTCTTAGATGGATGCTCTACTAATTGAGCTATCTGGTCGCCGACAATTGACCCAGTCCAGTTTTGCTACATATGTGTAAAACCATAGACTTTTGACAATAAACACTACTTGAACTTCTTATGAAATGTCCTTTCTTGACATTCAATGTTGTTAAAAAAGAGCTAGACTTGTTATAAACTTTATTGTACTTTTCAGCTTCAATGTTTATAACATGTCTAGCGTGTTCAAATATTCAAAGAATGTTATCAAATGGCACATCATCTAAAGTTTATTAATCGATCAAGGTTACTTAGCATTTGTTTTCCTATCTATAATTGGCTAAAATGTATTACCAGGGGATTTTACTATGATTTCAGTGGTTTCGCATGGCAACATCTATCTTTATTTGAGGTCGGAATTCCTCTCAACAGTTAGTAGAAGAGAAATAAAGCTCCGCATGACACAGGTTTATAAATAAACTTTAAATAATGGGTCATTTCTCAGCTCTCAGTTGGGTGGCAAAAAAGATTGACATGTTATAAGTTAAATGAGCTATTTTTGTGAAGACATGTACATCAGCCTTAATGCCTTATTTTTGACTATTTTAACCTGGCTAATGGCTATGTATTGTACAGGTTCAATATATACAAATAACATATATAAGTTCCGGTTTTTAATTGAGGTCTTTGAACATGACTTATCAGGGGGTTGAAAGTTTAGGTGACTACAGCATCTTTTAGGGGACTTGTTAAACCTTTAAAGACTTATGGTCCAATGAATGTGGTGAAACTTATATGGTATAGAAAGTACTTGGTAAATGGTCAATCATATCAAATAAAATCACCTGCATATATAACAGAAAAATGTAAATGCAGCGTGAGTGACATGACATGTGAGAGCATACATAAAAAACAACACTGTATAACAATCTATCAACTTGTGAACTGTAAAGATATAATGCTTTCTATTTTCAAAATAGAACAAAGCACCAAACCAAAGAAAAAGGGTGGAGATGAAAATCCATTTTCATTCAAGCGTTTTCTGGAATCCAGCAGTAATACTAATGGAGCAAGACCAAAATCTGTTGGTAACAGGTCAAGTACTAGTCCGCCTGTCCCACGACGTGCTGTTGATGGCAGCCCCAGTTTATCAAGGAACACACCAGACTTTGCCAGTGACTTGCCAGATTTTGTCCAGGACCATTTCAGTGATTTAGAAAGAGAAAGATTGGGGTCAAGGGATGTAGAACTACCAGATTTTGCCCTGAATCAATTTTCAAATTCCAATGACGGCATGGGAGATGTAGTGCCCCCCTCCCATCAGTTGGGAGGGGGTAGTATGAGTCGTACCTCTAGTCATGGTAGAGTCACCCCACAGGGGGATGGTGGAATGGACAATATAAACGACCTTGTGCAAGATAGGTCGTCTCAAATTCCCACAAGTTTGCCAGATTTTTTGTCAGATGGAGTTTTCAACAGTTCGGACAGTATACACAACAGTGGAGAGTTAACGTACCATCCAAGTTCGTGTAATAATCATGGTGTTTCATCTGTGCGAGAGGGTGTGGCATCACTAGAAATAAATGGAGATTTTGAACTGGAACTAAGAAGGGTAGGTTGACTCATTAATGACCATGTATGTTGCTTTAGAATATCATATAATAATAGAAAGCTGGATTTAGAACTACCAACACTCTAAAGTTGGGATCATAATTTCTCCTATCATTCACAGAGTTATCACCCATTTTACCTGTGTACGATTAATAGAATCTTCCCTACCTTGACGGTGTGACAGAGAAATCTCCTACCTGTGGGTGATGTTTTTTGGTTGTCTAACCCACAAAAAATCACCCATATGGGGTTAGAGATTTCTCTGTTACACCCTCAAGGTAGGGGATGATTATTTTTCTCCCATCCTATTATTTCAGTCAGACCTCCACCGACAGTAGTCTGTCATGTTCACAAAATCTGTGGGGTATGAATATCGTCATTCACTTTTGATGACATCACAATTGAACATGTGCTAATCGGCACAAGGCTATATCCCCCTAGGGGTGACTAACTTATCTTTCCCGGCTAAAACGGGAGACACACCTGTGAAGGGTGGGAGAATATTCTGTCACCCCCCTAGAGTATTATTTCTTTGTCCCCCTCCTAGAGTATGATATCTTCTGTCACCCCCTAGCCTATGATATCTTCTGTCACCCCCTAGAGTATGATGTCTTCTATCATCCCCTAGAGTATGATATCTTCTATGACCCCCTAGAGTTTGATATCTTCTGTCACCCCCTTGAGTTTGATATCTTCTGTCACCCCCTAGAGTATGATTTCTCTTTCCCCCCCCTAGAGTATGATATCTTCTGTCACCCCTAGAGTATGATATCTTCTATTATCCCCTAGAGTATGATATCTTCTATCACCCCCTAGAGTTTGATATCTTCTGTCACCCCCTTGAGTTTGATATCTTCTGTCACCCCCTATAGTATGATATCTTCTGTCACCCCCTAGAGTATGATTTCTCTGTCACCCCCCTAGAGTATGATATCTTCTGTCACCCCCTGGAGTATGATATCTTCT